CACACACACATGTACATATGTATGACAAATAAAAGTCAAATTTTATGCTCCGTTGCGATTTCTTCTTACCACCCAAGGAGTAATGGAGCAACTGCGTCTCTGATATGGTCAACATACTWGGAGTTAAGTGAAAGTGCCAACAACAACGACAACAGCAAAATCTCAACAAGAATGCAAACAGCGAATCCCCATAAATAAAGGAGAAAAATTTGTGCGAGGGTGTGTAGGTGTACACACACATATGTACATATGTTTATACAACATATTTACATGCATAAATTGGTACAATGTATAAATTTCGGTTTATTTTGTAAATACCACATTATAATAGCAACAAACACGTTGTTAAATGGCGAAATCATTTTGGCGACAACAACAATCACTGTGCGGAGTGGCGAAATTAACAGCAACAATATCATAAAATTCCATTTCGAATGTTTGATGACTACAGCGGCAGCAATAGCAGCAAAAAACGATAAGAACAATCAACATGTAGCACTATTAACGGCAAGTGTCGAAAAATATGTATACGTATGTATTTATGTATGCACATACGTGTGTGTGTGTATGCCCAWGATTACTCTCGATCAGCCACCTAAATTATGTTTAGGGAAATGCCGTCAAATACCCACACACACAAAACAATACAAGCAAAGTGTACTGGACAYACGCGTGGCGAGTSYTTCGATCTCCGGTCTCCGGCTGGTGTCCGCTATGCGCACAGCATTCGATTTGGGTTCTTTGAATTGCACTGGCTTCCAATTTTTGCATGGAAATTTCGGTTTCAATTTCTTTTGCCATTTTGGGATGTTCATAGATTCCTTTGTTGTTGGGATCCGTCTCTGGCTCTTATTTAAATACATTTGTATGCGATAGTGTGTGGGTGTAAACCTTCAGATTTTTGTACGTTATTGAGGTATAAATGTAAATATGTAGATATATTTTGTTGCCGTTGTTCTTGTTATTGTATCTTATGGACMAACATTCATGCACTCATTTCAGTTTAATAGCCTGAAAAATTGATTGTTTTCCTAAGGAAATTGTGAAAGGGTGTTTATCTAGATATTTGTTTGACGCTGTTGTTTTGTTCATGTGTAAACGGATTTATAGCTTCTGCCAAAGATTGCATGTC